CGGCCTGCCGGTTTCCCTGAATCCCTTCATAAATGTTACTTTGCTCACACTCCAACAGCACGTCAAGTATTAAAAACCATTTGTCTCCATTCACTCCTATCAAACACGCTCAAGCATGCCTGCTGGAAGTCCAAGCCCCTCGCACACAAAACCTCCTTTACCCCCTCCCTCCAACCCTTCCTAGGCCGACCCCTACCCCGCCTTCCTTCCACTACAGACTGATACACTCTTGAAGTCATTCTGTTTCGCTCCATTCTCTCTACATGTCCGAACCACCTCAACAACCCTTCCTCAGCCCTCTGGACAACAGTTTTGGTAATCCCGCACCTCCTCCTAACTTCCAAACTACGAATTCTCTGCATTATATTCACACCACACATTGCCCTCAGACATGACATCTCCACTGCCTCCATCCTTCTCCTCGCTGCAACATTCATCACCCACGCTTCACACCCATATAAGAGCGTTGGTAAAACTATACTCTCATACATTCCCCTCTTTGCCTCCAAGGACAAAGTTCTTTGTCTCCACAGACTCCTAAGTGCACCACTCACTCTTTTTCCCTCATCAATTCTATGATTCACCTCATCTTTCATAGACCCATCCGCTGACACGTCCACTCCCAAATATCTGAATACGTTCACCTCCTCCATACTCTCTCCCTCCAATCTGATATTCAATCTTTCATCACCTAATCTTTTTGTTATCCTCATAACCTTACTCTTTCCTGTATTCACCTTTAATTTTCTTCTTTTGCACACCCTACCAAATTCATCCACCAATCTCTGCAACTTCTCTTCAGAATCTCCCAAGAGCACAGTGTCATCAGCAAAGAGCAGCTGTGACAACTCCCACTTTGTGTGTGATTCTTTATCTTTTAACTCCACGCCTCTTGCCAAGACCCTCGCATTTACTTCTCTTACAACCCCATCTATAAATATATTAAACAACCACGGTGACATCACACATCCTTGTCTAAGGCCTACTTTTACTGGGAAAAAATTTCCCTCTTTCCTACATACTCTAACTTGAGCCTCACTATCCTCGTAAAAACTCTTCACTGCTTTCAGTAACCTACCTCCTATTAATTACAGGATTTTTTTTTTTTACAAAATATGGAAATACACAGAAGACAAAAATTACAAAAAATGTAATGATTCAACACACAGAACAAAAATAACTTAATAAAAACAAAAGTAATGATTCAACACATACAGGACAAATATAACATAATAAAAACAAAAATAATGATTTAATACAGTGGACCCCCGCTTAACGATCACCTCCAAATGCGACCAATTATGTAAGTGTATTTATGTAAGTGCGTTTGTACGTGTATGTTTGGAGGTCTGAAATGGACTAATCTACTTCACAATATTCCTTATGGGAAAAAATTCGGTCAGTACTGGCACCTGAACATACTACTGGAATGAAAAAAGTTCGTTAACCGGGGGTCCACTGTATAGGTAATTAATAAAAATGAGGAAATTTAAAAAATTGAATAAACAGACAAAAATGAAAAGATATTAAAATGATAATGGACTCATTAAAAACATGAAGCAACAGTACAAGAGAACAAAAAGTACTCACAAGTGACTGCTACACAAGAGTACTAGTACAAAGCTAAAGAAGAGGACATACTGATCTAGTACAAACAGGGTTATAACAACATAACTGATGCCAAAACTGAATTATACAAAGAGCAAATGAGAAGACAAAGTCTAAAATGATGAGGTATTAATTAATAGTACACAGCAGCAACAATGCCAAAGTATAAGCAACCAGTGGTGATAGTAGCTGAGCTTCACGAAGGTCATTCTCATACAGTGAAGGAAAGGCTATAATGATGCAACAGTTACAGTACAGTCTTGTTCTTGCACACCTCAGGCAACCTTATAACAAAATTCAGAAAATTTGTCAGTCGGTGGACCCACAAACTGTTAGAGACTCGGTAAAACAGAAAAAGTCAAGTGTGAGCAAAAGAATAAATAAATCTTAACATTTTAAGAGTAAATTTTTCTAGGCAGAAAAACAAAAATTAGAACTTAATCCCAATCTAAACTGTTTTTCATAATCATGCCATTTTATCAATGAATTTGCAGATGCTATTTGTTAGCCATTGGCTACTTAGTCTGATGTGATCTACTTAGTTTTAGTTGGACAATGTATATTGTAGAGGCTTTGTTTTTTGTTTTTTTTTGCAGAAAAATTTTGATGCATTCATCTGTTTCCCAATTGTCAGTAAATTTTGTGTCAGTCACTGTCGCTTATTGCTGAAATAAAGTTATTTACTGATGAATCATCATGCAGACAAAATGAGGTCTTATGGTATATTACTCACATTGGCTATGAAAAAAGGTCCATAAATTGCACCGAGACCTCTTAATTTTCGGCTGCGTAATTCCGTAAATTTTCCATCAAATTTTGTGCTTTTGGTTTTGTTACCTTCAAAAAAATATTTTCTTCTATTTCAGGAGAATTTTTTTTTTTTAACCCTTTGAGGGTTTCAGCCACACTAGTACGGCTTACGACCCAGGGTTTTTCACGTACTAGTACGCCTAAATTCTAGCGCCCTCAAATCTAATGGGAGAAAGCTGGTAGGCCTACATATGAAAGAATGGGTCTATGTGGTCAGTGTGCGCAGTATAAAAAAAAAAATCCTGCAGCACACAGTGCATAATGAGAAAAAAAAAACTTTGACCGTTTTTTTGGAATAAAACAGCGACTTTGCACTGTATTTTCGTATGGTATTTATTGTTGTATTTTAGTTTTTTTGGTCTCATTTTATGGAATGGAAGACATATTACAGAAATTGAGATAATTTTGACTGGCTTTACAATGAAAAGTACCTTGAAATTGAGCTCAAAGTAGCAGAAATGTTCGATTTTTACCAAAGTTCAAAAGTAAACAAATCATGCCAAGCATCCAATACACGTCAACTGGTGAGTCTAATATTCTTTCGCAAGTGCGCCAATATTATTTATACCATTTTTTATACTAATGAAGTAGTCTGCATAACAGTAAATCTTCTATTTTTTGTGAGAATAAAAATTCAAAGTGGAAAGCAAAAGAATGTAAGAGGGGCCTTGAGACGTGACTAATGAACAGAGGAAATGTCATTTTAGTGCCAGTAATGTCTTTCTTGTTTATTCTGGACCCTATTCGGAAATTGGCATCTTTTGAAATTTGTGTGAAATTGGCAAAATTGCTAAATTCTGACCACTGTACTGGATAGTTGAAATTGGTAAATGGGTGGTTTCTTGCACTCATTCGATAGAAAAAATGGAGCTCTAGTGAAATATTTATTATTTTTTGTTGACTAGTACACTGGAATTGGCCGAAAATGGGCAAAATTGCCAATGCGTAAACATCGCCGAGACCGGTAACTCGCAAGAGCATAATTCCGTAAGTTTTCCATCAAATTTCATACTTTTGGTGCCATTATGATCGGGAAAAGATTCTCTATCTTTTCATAAGAAAAAAATATTTCTTTTTTTTTTAAATTTGGCCAACCCTGAGAACTAGTCTCGGAGAGGGCCTGTCGGCCCTCAAAGGGTTAAAGTGGACACTGAGAGTAATATTAATTTCAGGGGTCGGGACAGTGTAAGGGTTAAGCCTTCTTCAGTTACAAGAACAATAAAAATGAAAAGTTGGAGGAAGATTAAAAAAAAAAAAAAAACTCAAACAAGCTCAGAAAGGCCCCCTTTCCAGAATATGCAGTGTTGGCACTTAGAGTCTCCTACAAGTATTGGGTCAGGTAGGGATGAAACCAGGGATGACAGGGTTTCTCAAGATAAGAAGCAAGGAGGAGAAAGGTACAAAGATCAGAAAATGCATCACTTCTCTATATAAATGCAAGCAGCAATATAATGGAGAGGGATTTCAAATTGGTGGCCATATATTGGACTTTGTTTTATCTACAGCCAAATCTTTGATCATCAAAGATGTCAACATAATGCCCTTGATATTACTGCCTCTGATCAGTGTCACTGCCTACAATCTTGGTACAGTATTACGGTGCCACTTCCTTGTGAGCACATATAATTTTTTTAAAGTTACAAAAATCTTGATATGGATCAGTTTAGTGTGATAGTGACAAGTGCTTTGAATAAGGAGAATACATCTGCACTGTTGGCTGGCCCATTGCAAATATTCACAATGCAGTGTTTGAGGCTGTTACTAGTAAGTTGTGTCCTTTGATTGCTATAAGGTTCTTGATTCATGATTTTTCCACTCGATACAATTTACCTGTTATCCAGCTACATAAGTCTTGTAGAAGTGCAGAGTATCAATGGCGTGCATACTCCTGGATTACAGTCTGATTATGTAGAAGCCCACAGAGTAGTTAACAGTTTACTGGCTGGTAGGGTGAAATACTACAGGTAAAAAACTGAATCTTGTCATGATCAGGGGATCCTGTTCACTCATTTGACTGACTTCCTTTGAAGCTCATCTCAAGCTGCTCTGTCTACTTTGATTCTGCTTTTCAGCTCACCTTGGCCTTCTGTATTTTGATCAGAAAACAGAAAAAATATTAGTTTGGACATGAATTCCATTCAAGTAGGTTCAGTCTGCGATTAGACCATTTCATTCAACCGAGACGGCTGTATGCTAGGTTTATAATGACCTGGTACTGAATACTTTGGGAAATGGATCACTGCTAATTTTGCTGGAGATCTCAGCTGCATTTGATACCACTTACCATGATTTACTGTTAAGCTATCTTTTCAGTAGTGGTCTTAGGGATAGTATTTTGTCACTTTTGAAATTGCATCCTTCAGGTTCAGTCATATCTGTCTCCTTTCCCTATGACATTCCTTAGGACTCAGTTCTTGGACTGGTATTATTTATTGTTTGTTAATAGTTTAGTCTTATTGCTCAAAGCCAAAATAATAATAATAATAATAATAATAATAATAATAATAATAATAATAATAATAATAATAATAATAATAATAATAATAATAATAATAATAATAATAATAATAATAATATCTTCATTTACTACAAGTACATGTACATGGTATACAGGCCTAGCTGACATCAGTGACATACTACTATATAGAAAGCCCCTTGTTATGCAGAGCATTTTGGGTAAATTAGGTCAGTTTTGTCCCAGGATGCGACCCACACCAGTCGACTAACACCCAGGTACTGTACCCATTTTATACTGATGGGTGAACATGGATGTCAAGTGTCTTATGGAAACCGTCCCTAATGTTTTCCAGCCGTACCAGAGAAGATTCAAACTCTGGACCTCAGTACATGAGCTAAGTGTGCTAGCGATCAAGCTACGGTTGATAATCATTTTTATGCTGACAATACATGGGTCCCAATGTGGAAGAAGCAAAATTCTCTTTAGGTTTCCTCTTTTTGGAAGTTCTGACTTGGATAACAAGTAGAAAATTTAAACTAAATAAGGATAAGAGAGATTTTGATTATCAGCTGAAATCTGAGGATAGTTTTGAGTGAGACAGTGTTAGTTTGCAAGCTGTGAGATCAGTAGAGGATCTGGTTGTTTACCTGGATGCTTCATTGTCACTATACATTATCACCTACCAGCAACTCAAAAATTCCCAAATAATTTACCATTGTTCATTTATTTAAGCATTATTTCAAACTTAAAATTGTTTCAATCTCATTACTGTAAACTGTGCTAAATTGTAATACTGTAACTTTTTATATACATCTCAACTATAAATTCAATTACTGTAAACCACTAGCTACCTCTGTTAGTTAGTTAGTTTAATATGTTTATTATGCACCCCATACCCATCCTGTGGGCGGTAGTCAAAAGATTACAGAGGTACATAATTGGTCCAGGGACTGGACTCCAAAGTTTTGATAGCTGAGCAAGTTACAGAGGTAATGAACTCACAATTTACAAAGGTAATGAACTCACAATTTACAAAGGTAATGAACTCCAGGTAAGTCTGGTCACAATCATGACAAGTTACAAAGGTATTTACAGATTACAGAGGTACGTAATGGGTCCAGGGACTGGGCCCCCAAAGTTTTGATAGCTGAACTAGGTACAAAGGTAATGAGCTCACAAGTTACAAAGGTAATGAATTCTGTAATAAGAAAAATGATGTATAAATAAAATTTACTACTCTTTATATGTCTAGCATTAAATAGTCTGTAAACATTAGGTTTATTCTGCTCAAAATGCTCCAGCATGATAGTGGCTTTCTTTGTACTTAACAAATCAAAATTGTAATTACACATTGTAAACTTTGCAAAGAAATAAAATCTATCTTTTTTCTTAAATAATATAATGAAATTAAGTACTACACCAGAAAGGATCATACAGCACTGACCAGGTAGTTAAATCTTCCAGTCTTCATATTCGTAATCCCTATACAGTTAATGAGGATCATGATCCATTATTTATTTTGGCTCTTACTCATGGATTTATTTCCTCTCAAATTGATTTTTCCAATGGTTTGCTTGTCACTTTGCCTATTACTTGCTTATAAGACACCAGTCTGTACTGAATTGTGCAGGTAGATTGGTATTTTTGTTAACACCTGGAGTTCCCACTAGTCCTTACTTGTATCACCTGAACTGGCTCCTTATCAAGGCAACAACTGAATTTAATCTTTATTTATTAACATATAAAGCTGGCCTGTAGTCTTACGACTCAATTGCCATGAGTTCTACTCTCTTCTGTACTGTGGTTTGATAGTCAAAAAACATGTTCATCCTTTTAAGTCTTAGCTGAAAGCTCAACTTTTTTCTAAAATTTATGATCCTTGTGATTCTACTGTCACTCCTCAACATAAAATTTTGCGTTCTTTTTTATCAAAGTTGTTGTATTTGTCATATGTGAATATCTCGAAAGAAAAGGTGCTCAAGAATGATAAAATTCCAAAATATTATTATTATTATTATTATTAATTATTATTATTATTATAATAATAAAACAGTCAGATACTGGGAACATCAGTGCACACTTGATGTGCATTTTCATTACAAGTAACATCAGGGTATGAAAAAAGTCTGTAAAATAATTTAGTCAGAGATATGAAAGCCATTAAACTGGAGTAGTTCAGCTTCTTGAAGATAAATGCACACAGGAAAAAACTGAGACACTGACACCTGGAGGTCACTTCAGTCTTCCCTGTATCCTTTAATATTCCACTATAGAATAAACATAGCCTAAACATAAAAAAAATGAGTACAAGTTACATGGGTGAATGCACAGTGAAGTCAGACTCTGCTGGTAGTCAATAAGAGGTCACAAGAGACTTATAGCATATTAACTACAAATTAGAATTAACAGGCTGTGAGAAGGCTGAAGAAGTGGGACAGACTGTTATAACAGGCTTGAGAATGTGAAGAAATGGGGTAGATTGTTATAACAGGCTTGAGAATGTGAAGTTAATGGTCATGTCGGGCAAAGGTGAGTACTTAAGCTCTTTATCATGTTAATGATTACATGGACAATAATCAAAGTCAAGGGGAAAAGTCAAAACCTATAGAGCAGTAGGTATCATTAATGTAGACTTATTACAGTACTTCTGTCTATAAAAGAATGGGTTGATTGTATTATGAAGCAACAGGAGACTGTAGAGAGATTGTACCTTTAACACATTCATCACAGAAGGCTGTGGAGGAGCCAGGTATTCACTGGGAAGAGAGGGAGGATGAGTCGCAGAAACTTCTGGGGTGGCAGACGTGCAATGTATAGAATGCATGAACTAAGAAAGTGAGAACATGAGAGGAGAATCTTGGGAAGCAGAGATGAGTAGAAGTTTGCCCTGCAGGATCCTACACTGTTATCACCTGAGGAGCACAAACAGATTGTGCAGACTGAGTAGAATCAGATACCAAGTAAGGTGTTGTGAAGAGGGGCTTCAAAACTGTTAAGTACAAAAGATAAAGAAGCAATATGCACTTCAGACGGAAGTCAAGAAGTCATACAAACACATGAAATCCTGGGAAGAAGACCAATTCCATGAAGATAGTTCATGGCCTGAATGTACGTGCTCTTCCTCTCTGCAACACAATTCAGAAATGGAGCAGAGAGTTTGCAAAGTTTACCATCATGAGTAGGGAAGGCACAGGTAGGGTAATCTATGCATGACTGATTATGTTTAACGAGGTGGCTGGAATGCCAGCAGCACTGACGGCACTGTTGAGAAGTAGGTAAGAGCTCTGCTGCCCATTATGTACACAGTAGAGGGAGGCTCACAGCCATCAAAAGTAAGTATTTCTTGGGTCTTAGGGTGGATGAAATGTGGAATGACTTGAATGAAGCACTGGTGGAGGCAAACTCAATACACAACATAGTTGTAAATGCTAGGTAATACCAACAAACTGTGGAAAACATTACAGTTTAGGACACTATTAAAGGAAACATTTCACCCCAAGTGTCTCCATCAGTCCTCAGAACTGATGAAGACACTCCTGGCAAAACATTTCCTTTAATTATTGTCCTGAACTGTACACAAGCATCCTCTTCCACACAGCAGAGCAGATATGATAAAGCCCAAGGGCTAGAAATCAGTGATGCTGATCAAAATGAAAGCCAGGCTTTACACTGTCTTTGTAAAAGATAGACGAAAGTTTTTACTTTGAGGATGAGTAGCTGTTGAAATTGTAGCTCCCAGAAAATAACATTTGTGTGTTCAATTCTGGCTCAGTGATGAACAAATGTATGAGGAAAGATAATGAGAAACATTTCAGTCTTGTCATCTACACTTTGTAATTTTGATAGGTTTCTACTCAATTAGCATTACTAACCCACACTACACATACCCCATTGTGCTAGGCAGTGGCGGCTCGTGTATAGGCACTGCAGAACTGCAGCACCCCCTATTTTCACTTGACATAATCAATAACATACAATATAATTAGTCTTTCTGTCTTTAATTCTCTCTTCATACTTGTACATTATATAATCCTAAGCTTAATGTCAGTAGCCATCCCCTAGTACATGAAAAAATTACAAAAATCCTTGTATGGAACTGTGCGCTTCACAGTTCCAGCGATTCGGTGTTTGGCTGTTGTGTGCATGCGCACATGTCCAAGATAAAACGCTGCACACTAGGTAGAGAGAGCACTGTCGCTGACGCAGTGCCGACCCTGTTGTGCAAGTGTAAGGCAGTGTTTCCCTTTGACTCAGCGACATGTGTTGTGCTTTTAAAAACCATGTCCTGTACATACCATATTCTTGAATGTGATAAAGTGTAGAATTAGATGATTATCATGCTTCCAGATACACGTATTTTATTTAATTCATATTTTTTTTACTTATTTTATTTTACACAATATTAAAACAATGGCTAAAAATTTTTTGAAGCAGCACCTCCACTAATTTTAGCTACAAGCCACCACTGGTGCTAGGTATGGAAAGTGACCCTTAGGCCAGCTGCTGTGTTGTCAAAATCACTCAGCTGACTTTATAATTACACAGAACATTTACAAGTTACTGGACTGAAGCAAAAAAAAGGCTTTGGTCAGATCTGTGGGCCATACACCTTCAGTGTATGGTAATGGAATCCAACATAGAGACTTGTTATGAATATAGTGAAGAGGTGGTCGAGAATTATCAGGTATAAGACCTAAATTAGCCAACAGTATATGACTTGATTGTAGAGCAAAAGGAATGTTGCCAAGTATTACAAGGACTTGATAAATATGAGTTGTAAGCCAGAACAGTAGTCAGGAATGTAGAAGAGAAATCATGAAGAATACTCATTAATGAACTAATTTTAACTCTCTGTTCTTCCACCTATCATTGAGTCCAACAAGAAAAGGTTCACAGATTTACTAAAATAAATGGTCACAGGACTACTTGAGAGGTATATGTGAGTGACCAACAAGTGACAAAATGGCATCCATGAAACCAAAATGGTTCCCAGCCCTTTGATATTAGCTTGCTCCTGTCCAAATATACTGCCTCACCAGATAGTCAGTGTAGAGCAATGCAAGAACTGGCTGTTTGATTAAAGAAGTCCAGCACTGAACCTCACATTTCTTCTCAATTACCCCCATCCTTACCAAAGAAAAATGTTGTCCACCCGAGGTCACAGCTCCATGGGCAGGCTCAATTTTCAGGCAAGAAGTAATAAGTACAGTGGTCCCTTGAGTTACAATGGGCTGGAGTTGCAATAATTCTGAGTTTCAATTTACCCTCACTAAGGAATTTAGTTTTGAGTGCGATGAAAAATTTGAGATACTACTGTATATGTATTTGTGTAGGTTGGTAGACAGCAACCGCCCAGGAAGGTACTACCATCCTGCCAAGTGAGTGTAAAACAAAAGCCTATAATTGTTTTACACGATGGTAGGATTGCTGGTGTCCTTTTTTCCGTCTCATAAACATGCAAGATTTCACGTACATCTTGCTACTTCTACTTACACTTAGGTTACACTACACATACATGTACAAGCATATATATACACACACCCCTCTGGGTTTTCTGCTATTTTCTTTCTAGTTCTTGTTCTTGTTTATTTCCTCTTATCTCCATGGGGAAGTGGAACAGAATTCTTCCTCCGTAAGCCATGCGTGTTGTAAGAGGTGACTAAAATGCCGGGAGCAAGGGGCTAGCAACCCCTTTTCCTGCATATATTACTAAATGTAAAAGGAGAAACTTTCGTTTTTCCTTTTGGGCCACCCCGCCTCAGTGGGATACGGCCGGTGTGTTGAGAGAGAGAAACATGCAAGGTTTCAGGTACGTCTTGCTACTTCTACTTACCCTTAGGTCACACTACACATAGATGTACAAGCATATATATACACACCCCTCTGGGTTTTCTTCTATTTTCTAACTAGTTCTTGTTCTTGTTTATTTCCTCTTATCTCCATGGGAAGTGGAACAGAATTCTTCCTCCGTAAGCTGTGTGTGTTGTAAGAGGCGACTAAAATGCCAGGAGCAAGGGGCTAGTAACCCCTTCTCCTCTATAAATTACTAAATTTAAAAAGAGAAACTTTCGTTTTTCTTTTTGGGCCACCCTGCCTCAGTGGGATACAGCCGGTTCGTTGAAAGAATATGTATTTGTGATTTAAGTAGGCCATATTGTATGATACCAAGTCATCATGGCCCCTAAAGTGCACAGTAAACAGGCAATCTCTCTGAATATCAAACACGAAATTGTGAAAAAACATGATAGTCACGAGTTATAATCAATGAACTGGTGCACAAATATGGCTTTCCACAATAAACCATCTCTATTGCTATCAAGCAAAAAAAAGTGGCTGGCAAATCTTAATTGGTGAAAAAAAGGCAAAGAAATTGTCACAGAAATGGAAATATTGTTATTATTGTGGATAAGAGAGAAGCAGATGAAGGGAGATACAGTGAACGCAAGTTATATCTGTAAGCATCTAAGTCCAAGCTACAGTAAAAGTTGTACCTGCGAGACCTTGCAACAAATTATCCTAAAACCACGTACAGTGGAACCACAGTTTTCGTATGGTCTGGTTATCGCACAATTCAGTTTTCGGCCACTTTTTTGGGCGAAATTTTCTCCGTTTTCGTACATCCACTCGAAAATCGTCCATACCAGATGTGTCTGCCTGCCCACAGGACACGGCCACTCATACGTTTGTGACTCAGTCTGCCTCTGTTACTAGTTCAGTGACCACTGAAGAGCTGCAAAACCTTCATCTAGAACAGCAACAGACCTTATAAGCCATGGAAATTGCTTCAGAAGAGGAGGAAGAGAGAGGGGAGAATGTGCCTTCTTCAGCGATTAAGGACTTTTGTGCAAAGTGGAGTGAGGTGCAAAGTTTTGTGGAGAAATATCGCCCAAACAAAGCTGTTGCAAGCCGTATCAGCAAAATGTTCAATGACATTGTCATGTCCCATTTTAGGCAAATCTTAAAGAGACGCCAGAAACAGGCCTCTCTGGACAGATTTTTGTGCGACAGGGGTCCAGTGACTCTCAAGCTGGTCCTAGTGTCAGTAAAGGACAAAGAAGGGAAGTAACCCCGGATAGGGCTTTGATACCTAAAGTCCTCATGGAGAGGGATTCCCCTTCCAAACAATAACCTCACTGTCTTCCATATGCCAAGAAGAGCCTTCAATAAAGGTAAAAGTGATTTAACCATTTCAGGGTTTCCGACGTACTAGTATGGCTTATGCACCAGGGTTATTGATGTACTAGTATGCCTAAATTCTAGCGCCTTCAAATCTAGCAAGAGAAAGCTGGTAGGCCTACATATGAAAGAATGGGTCTATGTGGTCAGTGTGCACAGCATAAAAAAATCCTGCAGCTCACAGTGCGAAATGAGAAAAAATAACTTTGACCGTGTTTTTGGTTTAAAATAGCGACTTTGCACTGTATTTTCCTATAGTATTTATGGTTGTATTCTAGTTTTCCTGGTCTTATTTTATTGAATGGAAGACATATTATAGAAACTGAGATGATTTTGATTGGTTTCACAATGAAAAGTAACATGAAATTGAGCTCAAAATAGTAGAAATGTTTGATTTTTGCCAAAGTTCAAAAGTAAACAAATCATGCCACACGTCCAATACACGTCAACTGGTGAGTCTAATATTCTTTCACAAGTGTGCTGATATTATTTATTCCATTTCTACACTAATGCAGTAGTCTGCATAACAGTAAATCTTTTATTTTTTGTGAGAATAAAAATTCAAAGTGGAAAGCAAAAGAATTGTAAGAGGGGCCTGGGGACATGACTAATGAACAGAGGAAATGTTATTTTAGTGCCAGGAATGTCTGTCTGGTTTATTCTGGACCCTATATGGAAATTGGCATCTTTTGAAATTTGTGTGAAATTGGCAAAATTGCTAATTTCTGACCACTTTAATGGATAGTTGAAATTGGTAAATGGGTAGTTTCTTGTACTCATTTGATAGAAAAAAATGGAGTTCTACTGAAATACTTATGATTTTTGACGACTAGTACACTGGAATTGGCCAAAGTGAAATCGCCGATGCGTAAACATCGTCGAGACCGCTAACTTCCTGAGAGCATAATTCCGTAAGTTTTCCATCAAATTTCATACTTTTGGTGTCATTATGATCAGGAAAAGATTCTCTATCTTTTCATAAGAAATTTTTTTTTTTTTTCCAAAAAATTTTCGACCCTGAGAACAAGTTTAGGAGAGGGCCTCTCAACTCTGAAAGGGTTAAATGTTCATTTATCCATTTCATTAGTCATTTATATTTATTTCTCTTTGTTTTCTGTATGTAAAACTTTAGTTATTCTCTATAAAATGTATTTTTTGTTAATTTTGGGTGTCTGGAATGGATTAATTGGATTTACGTTATTTCTTATGGGAAATATTACTTCAGTATTCGTACAAATTGGTTTTCAGCCAACCTTCTGGAACGGATTAAAGATGAAAACCAGGGTTACACTGTATTTTGGGGGTTTGAGTTATGATAGTGTTGAGGTACAATACATTTTCTGGAAGATTAACATCGTAGCTAAAGGGACCACAGTATACAGGTCACCATGCAATGCACACACAAAGAGTAATGCTTAGTTAAGTTCTGGCCATCTTAAGGAAGCCAAAGCTCACAACAGTGATGATCGTAATCCCCCTCCAATAAGTAAAGGAACTGCCATCCTGAGACCTCAAAAATTTAGCACTTTCTAAGACTACAATAATAATAATAATAATAATAATAATAATAATAATAATAATAATAATAATAATAATAATAAAAGCAGCTTCACTTACTGGAGATCACACAAGATATATGGCTTAATTCACAGAATACTTAAAATTTATGCACACTAATAACTCCTAATAAGATAATGAGGCATAAGAAAATGACAACTGTGAATCATCAATAGCATGGCCTTGAAGAGGGAAATTAAGTAGTTCCTGCAAACCAAACTGACTGACAGCTGACAGGAACTTAAGACAAACAGTAGAAGCCTGGCCACAGGACAGCAATCCCCAGGAAAATTACAAAATACATAAACATTCAGCAACACAGTTGCTTTGCTGAGTAATTTTCAGTTGTTGTATTAGATACTATTTTTGTAAAAGAAAATTCAGGCATTCAGAACCCTTATAAAGTGTTTATCCTGAATGATCTCATGTGTTTTAGTAATGCTGATTTATCCGAAAAGTCTTCCAGAGACTCTGAATCTAAATATGGATTTTCTGCTGAATGAACTCTCATATGTTTTTTCAAAGATGGTTTTAGAGAAAAATCTTTTAAACACACTGGACACTGAAACGGCTTTTCCCCTGTGTGAACTCTCAAGTGTTGTATTAAAGATGCTTTCCTGGAGAAGTCTTTTTGACATGCTAAACATTTATGAGGTTTCTCCCCAGAATGAATTCTCATGTGTTTCACCAGAGCTGATTTATCTGAAAAATCTTTCAGACACACTGAGCACTGATACGGTTTTTCTCCTGAATGAACTCTCATGTGTTGTATTAGATGTGATTTCTGTGAAAAGTCTTTTAGACAGACTGAACATTTAAATGGTTTTTCCCCTGAATGAACTTTCATGTGTTGTATCAGAGCTGATTGTTGTGAAAAGTCCTTCAGACACTCTATGCACTGATAGGGCTTTTCACCTGAATGAACTCTCATGTGCTGTATTAAATATGAATTTTGTGAAAAGTCTTTTAGGCACACTGAACACTGGTACGGTTTCTCTCCAGAGTGAATTCTCATGTGACGAATTAGATGAGAGTTTTGTGAAAAGGTTTTGGAACACAATGAACAGCTGTACTGTTTCTCTACTGAATGAGACATCATGTGTTTCATTAAAGCTGATTTTTGTGAGAAGTCTTTTAGACACTGTGAACAATGAAATGGTTTATCGTCTGAATGTGTTAACATATGTTTCATAAGTGATGATTTCTGAGAGAAATCTTTCAGACATTCTGAGCATTTATAAGGCTTTTCTCCTGAATGTACTCTCAGGTGCTTAATTAAAGTTGATGCAACTGCAAAGTTCTTAAGACAAATTGAACAGTGATATGGTTTTTCGCCAGAATGAACCCGCATGTGCTGTATTACATATGATTTTTGGGAAAATTCTTTTGCGCACACTGAACACTTAAATGGGTTTTCTGCCGACATGTTTGTCCTCGTAATGGTAGCCAATGAAACGGCACAATTACTAGGTTATTAATAATTATCTATCATCATTGACTGCACCTTGCTCACATAATGGAGCAGTGAGGTATAGACAATAAAACATTAGAGTGGAAGGAACTAATGTTCATCTCTCATGGATTTTATCTCACACTGACATATTCCTACAAGGCAAGCCTAATAAATTATTCAAAGAAAGGGCTTCGAGAGAAAAAATCAAATGTAATCTAGAAGTGTATGTATCATGCAATAAAAATATCATTAAGAGTTAAACAATGAATCTGAATGTGACAGGAATGTAGTTAGAAGCCTAAGCAGAACTATAACCCACTATAACATTAACACAGATAAGCTTATTAACAGAGCAATAAGCAACGTAAACAAACTAATGCCTGTGGTAGCTAGAATTAGGCTGTAATTATATTTAATGTGTGGCATATCCAGATGATTAAATTAATGTAATCAGCTTTAGTATTTTGTTGAAGACACTGTCCTTAACTGTCCACTTACTGAGGAATATGAAGATGATATAATGCATTAATATGTTAAAAATTGTCTTAATGACAAAAACCCTTGGACTTCTGAGTAAAGTATATAGCCTACATGTACTTGAAACACACAAAAGAATTGAAAACATATAAATTACAGAAACCCTTACGTGTTTCTTTTAAGCCATTAAAGGCATAATTCCGAGGCCTTTATCTATATGTTCTCATGCTACCATCCATAGGATAGATACAAGTTACATAAATAATCTACCATCCACAGGATGGATATGAGGTACTACCACCATCAACAGGATAGACAAGGAATAAGCAGTAAACTAGCCACTATCATTCACAATAGATATGAGTATTCACCACAACTTAGCTGCAGCTGTCCACAGGATAGATATGGTATACACAATAAACTAGTTATAATGTAAACAGGATGAGTATAGGTTAGATGAATTAGTCGCTCCCATCCACAGAACATACGTAGGGTACACAATAAATTAGCTGCTACCATCCAAAAAATGGGTAAGGGACGTAAAAAACAGTTGCTACTATAAAAAGGAAGGGTAAATGATACACAAATCAACTGCTACCATACAAGGGAAGGCTAAGGGATACACCAAAAAATCACTCTTCACAGGTTGATATGGAAAATTTCAGCAGGAAAAATTAAATATTAAATAAACTCTCATATGTTGTATGATATAATTTATCTAAAAATCACATAAAACCACGCTGAACAAGGATATATAGAGTTTCTCCTGAGTCAAATACAATGTATCATATCTTAACAGAGAAAATTTGTAGCTAAATTACTCGTAAAAATGCCAGTCATAATATTTCTTTATTACGAGTTCTCACGTAGTGTAGAAACTGCTTTAAGCATGGAAACACACAACATTAAAAGTTTAACAAATTATATTAAGACAACACAGAAGGTTATCTTTGTAGTAAGTATACACAATGGTCAAGCAAATTCAAAATATATTTAATAATGGACACAAAAGTGGTAAATGTGTACTGAAGTATCAATATATTACTGGAATTAAATAGTGTTTAACCTTCATGTTGAAACAATGTAGCTAATCAAGTTAGTTATGACTTATTAACATTAATAATGGCAGGATGCACACGAGATGTTTATTAATATCAGAGGGTAATGAGGAGGTAAGAGCACAAGTAGCAAAATAATAAATTTCAAAGAAAATACCACAATATATTAAGGAAAAATATAATTAATGAAGGAATAATTGACCTGAGTTAATCAAGGTAATGAAGACATCAGATAATTAAGAATGAGGTGAAAAGAAATTTGAAGTAGATAGCAATACTAATGATTCCTTAAAGCATTAAAGACCATTCTACAGTGCTTTGTGGACAATTTTTTAGAAAAAATGGAAACATAATGCAGCTTATTCCATTACAATTTTAATTGCTTCTGTAGCATTGACAAATTATTCACTATGTAAATCCACTACAGGTTACTACTACTCAGAATAATTCTCCACACCCCCAAGACAGTCATTCTCAGCAAAATTCTCCTAATTTATATTAAAAAGCAAAGTAACCTTTAAATTAAGAAACATTAGTGCAAATAATATTGGTAATACAAGTACAGTATTACACCAGTACAGATATAATATATGAGTGTGTGTGGTGGCTGCTATATTAAGGTGAACTTCAAAGTAGTGACCACATGATCACTATTATAATAATGTTCACACTGTATATACACATGCATTTTAACCGCCACTTACGCGAACTTCATGGTACTTGGTACTGGCATTGGGTCTTTATCCTGAATGTTGGCACTGTGTGTTCATCCTGGTTGTTGGCACTGAGTACTGAGTCTGGTTGTTGGCACTGTGTTGATCCTGGTTTCTGGCACTGGCTCTTCACCCTTACTGCTGAGTTGCTGATTCTAGGAGCTGGCTCTGGGTTATGACAAAGTGTGTCAGCACTGTAAGTCTACTTCTGTTGCTTCTTTTGAACTGAAAAAGCAAATAAAATATTATCATGACTTACATTTAGAAGTAAACATCTCTGAGCTCTTGTTAAATTTATGCTGCAAGTTCACTTACATATGAAGATTTATCAAATTTGGCATGAGAGGTACAAGAGGCCTAAGCATGAGAGAAAGGGTCAGCATGATCAGTGCTCACAGAATACAAAAAATCCTGGCCCATGCAATGCATCATATTAACAGCATGTTAATCCACCATTGCCCACGATGGCACATCAACATGATACTATTATTCCCAAGCTGATTACCTTGTTATTGTTTGACTGAGATAGTTGCAAGTCTAGGTAGTGATTCAGGAAAGGAGTTCAATGGATATGAGACTAAAGTGACCAAAAATAACCAAGGAAATGTAGAGAACAGTGCTCAAAATCCTGGTGACTTGCAACCCTGAAACATGCCCTAAACATGCCCCTAGTGTCAGAAAAAAATTACATTTTTCTGTGGTTGGGGCACCCAGCCACAGAAGAATGTATGGTAGCCTGTGGAGATGAGTCTGACTTATTGGTTACTGACCAATATGTTAAACTTCATCGATATATTCACTAGCATGCACAGTCTTGTAGTGTGCCGAGGGCTATACCAAAGATTGTGGGGAATCATGGGAGATAACACCAGCCAGTGACAATGATTATGATGGTGCTGCAATTGGCATGGGTAGGGGACCTCAGACAGTGCCAGTGATGCACAAGCACTGGGTGTCGGGACCAAGATGCTCACAGCACCAGTGCTAAACTTACGAGGGAGCCATCTCCTCCCTCCCATCCACTACTTGCTGCCTCCACCCACCCCTACACCAACTATTACTACTTTGCCGCTACTGCCACTGCCATCACTACCACCACCACCAGTTCAACCAAGGAACTACATCCAGCAACTAACACCAGACCACTTCAGGGATTGGCAGGAAGATACAACATTTGTGCCAAATCTCCATCAATTTGATGAGACAAACAGTAGGATTTTGGTGAACTGTACCAAGGACTCTGACGAACTGATTTTCCTTGACCTGTATTTAAATGAACTGCTAATGAAAATGATAGTGACATACAGCAACAATTATTACCAGTATACAATGGCTAACAAGTGAAGAACAAAAAGGCACAATAAAGTAACTGGAACAATACACAAATAATCTGCAAACAGGAGAGAAGAGCTTACAACAATGTATCCAACTTGGACCATTTACAGAGTCACAATGCATGACTCTGTAAATGGTCCGTTGGACCAAAACATCACTGTGAGTGTCTGTCTCCTATGTGGGCTATTTGTGTATTGCTAACAAGTATGTTTGATTACTGTCATGACTTCATCAGTGGAAAGTCAATACTGTGGCTCAGATATGATTCCATTTTCTCATTTTCATATATTTTTTTTCTTTGCCACATTTATATAAGCACAACAGTGCAAGATATTGCTTGACACACTGACTGATGTGTATTCTGGCATTCAATGACCTCATCCCTGTCAACACATTGGTCTTGGTGCTGCAGATGTTGCACTTTACAGACAACAAGAATGACATGTTATTCAAGAACGACATGTTATTCAAACTCAATCGTAGTATGATTGCCAATAAATCACACAACGGGTGGGGTTGGAACCCATGGCCCAGTGGTTGAAGCACTGGTCCGTGAGTTGTAGGACTCCCTTGCCATGGGTTCAAGTTCCACCTGTTCCATGGCATATTATTCAAAATTATGGACATTTCCGTGTACTTTAACCCCTTGACTGTCGCAACCCCCAATCCTGAGGTGTCTCCTGGTGTCGCAAAATTTCAAAAAAAAAAAAAAATTATTTTTTCTTGTGAAATGACAGAGAATCTTTTCCTGATTGTAATGACACCAAAAAAAACGAAATTTGATAGAAAACTGATGGAATTACACTCTCGCAAGGTTAGCGACCTCAGCGATATTTACAAATTGGCAATTTCGCCCAATCTGACCCCTATTTTCGGCTAATTCCATTATTCCAATCGACCAAACTCATAGCTATTTCTTTAGAACTCCATTTTTTCTATCGATTCGATTGAGTACAAGAAACTGCCCATTTACAGATTTCAACTACCCAATAACGTGGTCAGAAATTTGCAATTTTGCCAATTTCACGAAAAATAAAAAATATGACAATTTCAAAATAAGGTCCAGAATGAACAATGCAGACATTCCTGGCTCTAAAATAACATTTTCTTTGTTCATCAGTCATGTCTCCAGGCCCCTCTGATATTACTCTTGCTTTCTATTTTTAATTTTTTTTCAAAAAAAACAGAAGATTTACTGTTATGCAGACTACTGCAATACTGTAATAATTGTACAAATAATGTCAACCCATTCATGACTGCATATTAGAATGGCTAGTTGGGCATTTATTGGACAATGACATCATTTGTTTACTTTTGAACATCGTCAAAAATCAAACATTTCTCCTACTTTGAGCTCCATTTCCAGGTTCTTTTTATAGTAAAATCAATCAAAATCACCTCTATTTCTATAATATGTTTACCATTCTATCAACTGAGACCAAGAAAACGAGAATACAACCATAAATACTATACGAAAATTGACCACAAAGTCGGCATTTTAATTAAAAAAGAAATGATCATTTTTTGTTTTCTCTTTATGCACTGCGTGCTCCAGGATTTTTTGATATGGTGCACACTGACCAAACAGACCCATTCTCTCACATGTGGGCCTACCAGCTTTTTCCTGCTTGATTTGAAGCCGCTAGAATTTATGAGTATATATATACAACAAACACGGTACATCGTAAGACGTATATATAGAACCAAAACATTCAAAGGGTTGAAAGCAATTTCCTGCGAGTGAACATGACAGATGTGTGGTACAGTGTACAGAATGAACAAATACATGCCAAAGTTCAACACAACCATTTGTGATGCACAGTACACAAATAACCTGCATATAAAAGAAAGAAACTTTAACAACATTTAGGTGCAATTTGGACTTTTAACTAGTCACACAGGAGCACGATATACATATACACTGGCTCTCTACCTTCATGCTCGTGTGTAACTAGTTAATGGATCAATTCAGTTTGAAACATTGTAATAAGTTTCTTTCTCCTATACATGTGCAGTGGACCCCCACCTTACGATATTAATCGGTTCCTAAGAGCTCATCGTAAACTGAAATTATCGTTAGCCTAATTAATTTTCCCCATAAGAAATAATGGAAACCAAATTAATCCGTTCCTGACGCCCCAAAGTACAAAAAAAAAAAAAATTTACCACATGAAATATTAGTTTTAATAAACACAACCTGAAGAAGACATGCACAATTACTACTCTACTAAGAATAGAATACATGACACTTACCTTTATTGAAGATCTGGTGATGATTGATGGGATGGGAGGAGGGGAGACTGTGGATGGTATTAATGTTTAGAAGGGGAATCCCCTACCATTAGGACTTGAGGTAGTAAGTCTTTTTCCGGGGTTACTTCCCTTCTTCTTTTAATGCCACTAGGACCAGCTTGAAAGTCATTGGACCTCTGTCGCACAACAAATCTGTCCATAGAGCTCTGTACCTCCCGTTCCTTTAAGACTTTCCTAAAATGGGCCATAACATTGTCATTGTACAGGTTGCCAACATGGCTTGCAGTAGCTGTGTCAGAGTGATTTTCATACGTAAAGGTTTGCAGTTCAACCCACTTTGCACACATTTCCTTAATCTCTTTTTTCAATTCCATACTAATTCTCACCCTTTTTACCACAGAGATGGCACTAGAAGCTTTCTTGGGGTCCATTACCTGGAGTTTACCTGGAGAGAGTTTCGGGGGTCAACGCCCCAGCGGCCCGGTCTGTGACCAGGCCTCCTGGTGGATCAGCGCCTGATCAACCAGGCTGTTGCTGCTGGCTGCACGCAAACCAACGTACGAGCCACAGCCCGGCTGATCAGGAACTGACTTTAGGTGCTTGTCCAGTGCCAGCTTGAAGACTGCCAGGGGTCTGTTGGTAATCCCCCTTATGTGTGCTGGGAGGCAGTTGAACAGTCTCGGGCCCCTGACACTTATTGTATGGTCTCTTAACGTGCTAGTGACACCCCTGCTTTTCATTGGGGGGATGGTGCATCGTCTGCCAAGTCTTTTGCTTTCGTAGTGAGTGATTTTCGTGTGCAAGTTCGGTACTAGTCCCTCTAGGATTTTCCAGGTGTATATAATCATGTATCTCTCCCTCCTGCGTTCCAGGGAATACAGGTTTAGAAACCTCAAGCGTTCCCAGTAATTGAGGTGTTTTATCTCCGTTATGCGCGCCGTGAAAGTTCTCTGTACATTTTCTAGGTCGGCAATTTCACCTGCCTTGAAAGGTGCTGTTAGAGTGCAGCAATATTCCAGCCTAGATAGAACAAGTGACCTGAAGAGTGTCATCATGGGCTTGGCCTCCCTAGTTTTGAAGGTTCTCATTATCCATCCTGTCATTTTTCTAGCAGATGCGATTGATACAATGTTATGGTCCTTGAAGGTGAGATCCTCCGACATAATCACTCCCAGGTCTTTGACGTTGGTGTTTCGCTCTATTTCGTGGCCAGAATTTGTTTTGTACTCTGATGAAGATTTAATTTCCTCATGTTTACCATATCTGAGTAATTGAAATTTCTCATCGTTGAACTTCATATTGTTTTCTGCAGCCCACTGAAAGATTTGGTTGATGTCCGCCTGGAGCCTTGCAGTGTCTGCAATGGAAGACACTGTCATGCAGATTCGGGTGTCATCTGCAAAGGAAGACACGGTGCTGTGGCTGACATCCTTGTCTATGTCGGATATGAGGATGAGGAACAAGATGGGAGCTAGTACTGTGCCTTGTGGAACAGAGCTTTTCACCATAGCTGCCTCGGACTTTACTCTGTTGACGACTACTCTCTGTGTTCTGTTAGTGAGGAAATTATAGATCCATCGACCGACTTTTCCTGTTATTCCTTTAGCGCGCATTTTGTGCGCTATTACGCCATGGTC